ACGCGCTCGCCTCTGGCTCCTCCGGCGTGCTGGCCGCCCTCCGAATGCTGCAGCGGGTCCAGGCCCACGAGGGACCGGGGCAGGCGTTTCCCTGGCAGGCCTTCACCACAGCCCTGTGCGCCGAGGAGCCTACGCTGGAGGGGCCAGAGGGGGCCCTGGCTGTGTGAGTCGTCCACGTTTCCAAAACTCGGTGTTTTGTGGGATATTTGGCACGTTGGGTGCCCAATTCAGCACTGTGCATCTCCTCCCCCCCGGTGCAACAGGCCATATGTGAAGTCAGGATTGTAGCAGGGACCTACCGGTCTTCCAGCTTGTGTCTGCAAAAGCTGGCGAAGGCATTTGCTGCCTCCTCTCGCTTCCTAGTGCCCCTGCTCTGCGGGGCAGGTTGGCAATAAGGACTCGGGGCTTTGCTCTGACGTGTCATCTCTCCCTTTTCTCCCCTTTTCCAGCAAACCGCGTCTGCTGCTGCTCCCCGTCATATGCCAGAGAAACCTCTTCTCCCTGCTCCTCGTGATGCAAGCTGTGATGCCAGGGGGCTGCCTTGGCCGGCTGCTCCAGGCCATGGAGCAGGATTCCCACGTGGATCCCTGGGTGCGGACACTGGGGGATCTGCTCCGCCAGGGAGCGAGGGGAGAAGAGCGCTCCCCACCTCCTGTTCCCTTGTCTTCTGCATGCCAGCAGCAGCTTAGGTGTCTGTGCCAGAAAATTGCCCAGAACAAACCAGAGGGGCGAAGAAAGCTGAACTGGTGCTTCAGTGAGCAGCCCGGTGCCGCTGGGGACGTGGCTGACTCTGTGCTTCAAGGTGGGAAGCGCAAGAAAGTGTCGGAGGAGAGCCTGGAGTTGGATGAGGAGAGAGAGGGGAAGAGGTTGCTGCTGGAGGAGGTGGCATTTGACCTCCCGGGAACCCAGGAGGGTGGGGATGCAGCAGGGGTGGAAGAGGAGGTGCCTGGGGAGACTTCGGGGGACAGATCTGCTCAGAACCTGGCCGGAGCTGCTCCGGAAAGCTCCCAGCAGGATGCGGCTGGGGAGCCCAGGAAGATTTCCCAGGCAGAGCTGGCAGCGGAGGTCCAGTCCTTTCTCCAGGTACCGGGCAGGGATTGCTTTCCCCTTCTAGCCAGTGAGTCTTTGCAGTCTGATTTCTGTTCCTTCACCTCATTTTCCACAGGTGCATGGTCCAAGGCTGAAAATGCTGCTGCAGAAGGAGGCCAACGTAAGTGGTTGCTTCTGTCTCTCTCCTGGAGCTGATGGTCTGAACGGGCCCATGCCAGGGCCTCTGGAAGGGATGGGAAAGGAGGTGGGTTTCACAGGGACGACTGGAGGGGGATAAAAAGCCCCATTGCCACCTCCTCTGGGCTCGGGTGCTAATACCTGCCTCCACCTCGCAGGGATCTGCTGTATGATGGGCAGCCTGTGGGGTCAGTGCTGGCCGAAGCGGGGGGCAGCAGGGAAGAGAAAAGCCTTGGAGCCATATTTTGTGGGTTGGTTTATTTGGTGTATTACTCAAGGGCTGTGTTTCCCTCCAGCACTCGGAGCTGAGCATCCCGCCTGAGCTGCACATCCTGAACAACTGCTCTCCCGGTCAGGTGAGCCTCAGCATCCTCGTTGCAACCACCGGTGGCACAGAGGGCCTGCTGCTGTCCCTAATGTCCCTGTCCCTTCTGCCGTCCCCAGCTCGAGGGGCTGTGCTCCTTCCTCCAGCTCTCCACGTGCCCGGAGCACCTCCTGGTGTGTTTCTGCAGCTGGCTGCTGGCGCTCACCCCTGACCTCAGCTACACAAGCGCAGCCATCCTGGCAGAGCAGCTCTTTCTCAGGCGAGTAAGTGCAGGGGCAGAGGTTTCCTGCACCCCGTTTCCCTCACCGCCATCCCCATCTCCTGCATTTTCTGTCCGTAGGTCCTGTCCCTCACCCAGCCGCCGTCCCGCCACCTCATGGCTGCCCTCGCTTCATTTTGCTCCAAGTATTCCCAGCCCTTCTGTCGAGTCCTGGTGGCTGCGGTCCTGCAGGAGCCAGGGGAAGGTGCGATGGGCTCGCAGGAGGCACAGCTTGTTCTGGGAGCAGCTGAGGGAGCTGGAAAGGGGCCGTGGGCTGCATCCACCAGGAAAGGAAGCCCCAACTGCAGAGTGCTGTCTGCTGGGAGGCATTTATCACCCAAAACGTGTGTTAGGAACCATGGAGGGATGGTGCTGGTTTTATCTGGGCACGTGAACACTTGGGAGTTAGGATGGGAGATGGGTTTACAGATGCCTGAGATGGAGAGGGAGGCCAAGCTGGTTTCCAGCCTCAGACCTCCCAAAGAACAGCTGCCATCCCTCCATGGACTTGAGGATTCCTGACAACTCCTAATGCTGGGGCCAAAACTGCCCCAGGGTGGCACAAGAAGAGGGTCCTGCATGAATCCCTGCCACAGTAGCATCCCCTTTTCCTAGGGACTGGTGCTAATTAAAACTTTGCTGCAGATGGGCAAAGGAAGCTGGATTATCCTGACCAGTAGAAGGGGGCACTACATGGCTTCTGGGTGTCCTGACTGGCACGTACCCCTGTGTGAAGGGGTGCCAAAAGAAGGGTCAGGCACGTCCCTAGGGATTTGGCAGCCTCTGGAGGCTCTTCTCCCTTCTGCTTTGCCCTTGCAGGTGCTGAGCAGACCAAGCTGGTGTGCGAGCTTGTGGAGGAGTGCCTGGAGCCAGACTGTGTGAGACTGGTGCTAAGGTAAGAGATTACAGGGGCAACAGCTCTGCTTTCACCCTCGCGCCTGCCTCGATGGGTCTGGCTGGCTCCGGCCGCTCAGGAGCACCAGCGAGGCCATGTGAGCATCACATCTCCTCTTCACCATCCTTTGCAGCCAGGTCCTGGAGGTGCCTTTGTCAGAGAAGCTCCTGCCGGTGGCACAGGCTGTGCTGGGGCGGCAGGTGAGGGGACCCTCTTTGTTCCCCCCAGGTTTCCTTGCCAGCTCCAGCAGCGCTGGAGCAAGGACCAGCTCTCCTCCCCACTTGTCTCTCTCTTCCAGGAGGTGCTGCCCCCCGAGCTCTTTGATCTCCTGGTCCTGACTCTGTGCCGGCAGGCCCCAGCCTTCACCACGTCACTGAATTATGCCAAGCTGGTGACGGCCGTGCTCACCATGTACCAAAGCCAGGTGAGTAAGACCAGGCTTGGGTCCTGCAGAGCAGCTGGTGAGCTGTCAGCCAGGGCTACAGCTGACCCAGGACCTGGTCCAGGGGTCTCGGGTGGGCTGTGCAGTGCAGCTCTCTGAGCACCTTCCTCCTCTCTGTCTCCAGGTCACCCCAGCCCACCGGAGCCGTCTGGCTGCCGCTCTGGATCAGAGCAATGCAGCTCTGAAGAAATCGCTGCAGGCCGTGCTGGAAGGAGCCAGGTGAGATGGATGCTGTGCCCTCCAGGCTGGGGTCTCTCCTGTGGGGGACGGCAGCCTTCAGGCTCCTGGTCTGCCCTGGGAGGTGGGAAACCACCGAGTGCCTGCAGAAGCCATGCCGGAGTATGGTTGGCAGCGTGTTTCCCTTTTCTTGATTACTCTCCTCTTTCTTTCTCCTCCTCCCAGGTGAACACCAAAGAGAACTGCAAGGCGATGGCTTCCTTGGGCAGAGGATGCGTGTTAGGTGGTGGTAGCTGCAGCCCAGTCCCTTGCTGGGGTTCACCACCAGCGTGATGGAGATCCAGCGAGCGTGGGCTGTGGCACAGAGAGTGCCCATGCCTCTGCCCAGGGCCTTGCAGCGATGTTTTGCACTCAGCCGGCCTGGTTTGAGGGGAGCTATCGCTGGGTGACACCATCCCAGCCCCACACGCGCCCTGAGGCTTGAAGATGAGGGTTTTCTTGGTTAAACAATGAATATGTTTCCAGTCAGCTCTGTGTCTGGTCTGTCTCTGGGCCGCCTCAGAGCCCGCTGCCACAGGTGCTTCTCCACACTCAAGATGGCAACTCCCGCCTTCCTGCCCCTGCCACACTCAAGATGGCGCCTCCCTCCCCGCCTCTCCCAAGATGGCGGCAGAGGAGGAGCTGTGGAGGGGCCGGGCTGGAGGATGCCTCAGGGCAGCGGCTGGCTTCTCCCAACCTCCGGCGGTGGGGGCACCGCAAAGCCCTGGATTGCCCCACATCGGCACCGGGCCCATGGGTGTGACGGGTGGCCGGGCTGCGCATCGCCTGGAGGGGTGGGTAATTGCCTAAAGGTGACTGTTTTGTAGATGGTTTGGGCCCAGAAGGTGGCTTTTTTTAATCAGGAAAACAAACAATCCATTATTTTTGCATTATCAATGGAGTAATGTTGGCACACAAGTACTTGAAGAGTGTCTGAAGGTGGGCTGCAGCCATCCTGGGCCCAAGGCTGGCTGCCATTTCCCCTTGGAGAGGCAATGTTGCCCATTTTCCCTGTATGTTCTCTTATAAAAAAGGGTTTTCCATCGAGCAGGTCCCCGTGTTACCCGACTGGGCAGCAAGAAGCTGCAGAAGAAGCAGAAGCCCTTTTCTGCTTTCAGGTCCCCTTTGGCTTGATGAGTATGCTGGATTATGTGATGTCTCCTACCCTGTGCCAGCATCTCTGATAACTCTGTAAATCTGAAGAGCTTGATTGAGCATCCATGTGTCTCATCAATCTGGTTTGCAGGTGTCCCTACTTGTTTTAATCAACATAGATCCACTTCTTGTTAAAAAAGGGGGTGACATGGCTGCAATATTTCCTGTGTACACCCTTCTTCTTGTTTCTCACAGCTGAGAAGTACGATGCCTTGCCGGCGTCAGCCCTCGATGAAGCAGGTTGCTCCTTTATGGCTCCAGGTCTGCACAAAGCTGGCAAACCTCCTTCTCCTCGCTCACAGTGGCAGCCTGGTACCCAAGGCGAAGAGTCATCTTCTCCAAAACCTCCGTATTTCAAGTGTTTTTCTAGCATTGTGATGGCCCAGAGCAAGCAATACTGCATGGTGGAGTTCACAGGTCCTTCGTTCTTAATGCCCTTAACACACCACTGAATCAAGACATAAACTGATTTGAGGCTGTTTGAAGATGATAATTCTGGACTAGGCTTAATTGGCCATCGTGTTTTTATCGTGGCTCAAAGGAGCCAAGGCACAAGTGGTACGTTTTGTGCATGTCAGCCTTTCTCTCCAACAGCTAAGCTGATTTTTCAGGTGATGCAGCCATGATCTGCTGGGTTGTTTATCTGGTCTGCTGGGATTTACAAATCTCAGGATGTAGAAGAGTGGGGTTTAGATGAAGAACTGGTAAACTTGAATTTTCTGCTTTAAATCTGCCTTTTTTTTCCCTGTTTTGCTGGGGCCTGCAAAGCAGCCCTGCTCTGTGTCACATTCCTGGTTTGCCACATGGTGATGATGGCACTTCCCATTGCAAGGCATTTAGTGATACACTAATAAAAAGTGCTTCTATAGCGTGACTGTTTGCAAATATCTATCCTGTATCCTTGAAGACACCCACTGGAAACCTCATCTGGGCACTTTCTGGTTGGAGGACTGGAAAGATAAGGATGGGAGAGAGTGGATGGACTCTGAGGGAGGTAGTGCTAGAGCTTTAATGGAGGTTTTGAAGCACTGCATACTTCAGGAACTATTTAAAAATTCATAAACATTTACATCTACAAAGGGAGAAGTGGGACTAAAACATGTAGGTGTGACATGTTACTGCTTCAAGTTTGCTCATTAACGTTTAGATCCAGCCAGAGGAATGAAACTGAAGCATTAAGTGATGCTCTTAATGCTAAGAGCACAGATTTCTTTATAGCAAGAATCTCTTAAGCTATTTTAGGTGACAGTGGACTGATGAGGCTTCAAAGTCTACGTTAGCTGGAGGAAAGAAACCTCCAGAGAGCCAAATTGTTGATGTATTTGCATACCAGTAAGTTAGTGTCTGAGTGTATTGAAGCTATTGTAGGGCTGCCCAAAATATGACATAAATAGAAACTGTGCCCTGACCATCAAGGTCTGAGCCTGCTGTTCTGGCTTTATTAGGTAGCAGGCTGCGGTCTTTGCAGTTTCCCTGCAAAGCTTCTACCAAGTGACCTCGGTGTCATTGTCCCCAGTGCTCCATCTGGCTGTCGGTCACGTGAAGATGACCGAGGACAAACTCATCTCCAAAATTCACCTGGTCAGCTTCCTGGTGTCCTTGCTGAAGAAGAACTGGAAGAACATGCGTGCTGTGTATATCTAGAGCGCCGTGGGGAAGCCCCGGCATCTCTATGGACTGGGCAGCAATAAATGGTTTGAAATCTCCTGGCCGTGGTGTGCGTCTCCTCCCTGATGGATGTTTGATTTTGTAACTGCTTACTGGTTTCTTTAGGCAATGGTCTCATTTTGACAGGCTGTTCTTGGCTGCTACGTGCCGCATGCAGCTTGCACTTCCAACTCATCTGGAGATACTGAGAGCTGCGTTTTGGGCCAGCCTACGTGGTTTTTGCAAGAAACAGTAGTCAAGCAGGGATCGGCTTTGCAAACTGCAAGGGGGTTTCCTGTTCTGCTGGGAAGCATTATGCTGGCTTGTGGAAAGAGACTTCTTAGCCCTGTTTTTGCTCTTGGCTGCAGCTTATCGTGTACCGTGGATTCCTCTGGGGTGTACGTGCAAGATAACAGTCATGTTAGGAGAATTGGAAGCAAACCCTGGAGACACTAGACATGCTGGTGGAAGACTGCTTGTTTATGTCTGGTATGGTAGCATCCGCACGGAAAACTTAACTTTTGATTCCTCTTGACCTGCTCAAGAACTTTAAAATCCAGCCTGAACAGCTCTCAAGAACTTTAAAATCCAGCCTGAACAGTGCAAAGAGGTGGACGCGGCATAAAACATCAGTCAGGTTTTATAGTTCAGCAGAACCTTATCCAGGAGCGGAGGGAGAGCCAGGGCTGGGTTTGTCCTTGTCCTGATTTATTAGCAGTGTTGGTTGAAGGGAAAGGTCTGAAGCTTTGTCTTAGATGATTCCTAGGCTGTGTGTAGAAGGCAGCGTATAATTTTCAGCCAATTTACTTGGCATATTTGACTGTAGTTCTTTATCTGCTTCCTCTTCTGTTTGTAGAGATTTACCTCCTTCATGGTACGGAGGGAAATTCCCTTTTTGGCCTAATAGTTTTTTGGGTTTTTTTTTTAAGGAAATTAATATTATGCAATTGCATGGGTTATCTGTCCACTCTGCTGCCTCCTCATCCTCCCACGGTGATTTTTGAACCAGTTTCATGACAAGAACTCTCCACTCCCCAAGTGGCATCTTGGTGCCATGATTGGACAGCAGAGAACCTCCTTCGGGTGGGCAGAGGCGTGCGAACACTGCCTCCACGGATGTTAAACGCCAGACGTCAGAGCCACATAGGAGGCAGACCACCGTGGTCCATGCAACACCTTGTTGGAAAGGGCTGAAACTCGGCTGCTTTCCTGAAAATGATCCGTATCTATCCCCTGAGGGGCTGCCCCTTTCCAAACAGGAGCTGCAGGCATGTCCAGGTAGTTGTTGTGTCCCCTCCTGCAGCGATGCAGGGAGCTGATAGTCACCCCGCTTCTCCCTGGGGGTAACTGCATTTCAGTGACAACCTGTTAATCACATGCATGTAATCCCCAATATGCTGATGCAGTTTTGCATTGAAATCTGGTGGCTGTGACACCCAGATGTGAGGCTGAACTGCTCAGGAGAAGGCTCAGCAGTCGTCTTTTTTCAACCTGGAATTTAAAACTGAACCAAAAGAAGCAAACCCCCTCTTTCTCGTCTGTTTTTTTGCCAATGACCTTTTAATCATAATATGAGAATCGTGTTCTCCCTTGGGTAGTCTGGTGGCTGCCAGGTCCCTGTCAGCTGGAGAGATCGGGGCCGCACGAAGATGAATTTGCTGGAGGGTTTATGGTTGGACCCCCTGCACAGACCTATTAAATCACATTTGCCGCGTCAGCAGTAGCAGCCAGAGTCGGTCTGAGCAGCTTTCCTCCATGAAGTGGATAATCCAGATGACCACAGCCTCTGCGATCTGAGCTGCAAGTTCAGCTCAGCTTCGGGAGAAGCCCTGGGAAGATGCCGTCGCAGTAGCCTGCCGCACCGCCGGTGGGACCTCGCTGGAAGGAGACGCAAGGGGCAAAGCCAGAGCCTGCAGCAGTTTGCTGCCGCTCACCTCTCTGGGCTGGAGATCTCCCAGCAGGGTCTTGTTCATCCCCACTGAACAGGTCTGTGCATGGGGAGCTGGGCTGCTTTCGCTTGTTTGAGGCCCTACAATACCTAGATTGTAATTGCGATGCTCCCAGGTTAAAAATAAGAATACGTAAAAATCCCTGGGTGCTTTTAGGAAATGCTTTTAGAGGCTCTTTCAATGGGATGGTTTGCAAAGAGAGGCATTGCCTCTTATTGAGCCCCTCAGCACATGTGTGGGAGGGAATAGAGGAGTTTTTGAGCAGAAAAGCTCTATTCTGGTGTGGGGAACCAACGTGATGGTGTCCTTAGGTCTGTGTCCTCCATGGAGGAACTTGCTGCAGCCGTGGACCTGCCAGGACACTAGAGCAGAGGCTACGGAGCCTGATCTGCTGCCTGCCCGGTGCCAGGCTGCTGCTCTCAGGGAGGAAGCAGGGTCTCTGTGGGGACGGGGCCAGCAGGACCAGGCTGTGTCGATTGGCAAAGCACTGGTGAATGCAAAGGTGTCCATCCTCCATCCCCTGAGCTTGCCAGCCTCTGCTGGTGCACTGCCCGTTCTCGGGGGCAGCTGGTTTTGTACCTTCTGTCTGCTCAGCACCATGCTGTGAAGGCGCTTTTACTTCCATGCCCTGCTACAGGAGCAGGCTCTGTCAAGGAGAGACCTTGTGCTTGGCTAGAAAGAGCACTCAACAGTAAAATACATAGTTTAGACCGCTGTGCCCAAGCAGACCCTCATGTAATGCGGGCAGGGAGAGGTCCTCGAGGAGGGGAATGGCATCGCAGCGATTGGGTGCTGGGCTCCATCCGCTGAGTCTCAGCCCAAAGGAAGGGTCTTCCCCTCTGCTCGAGTCTCCCCTTTCTGAAATAAAGGGGTGCCTGGACGCGAATTAGCCCAGTGACGGGACTGGCGGTGCTAATGCAAACCTGACTTCATGCCTGGAAAATTCAGCTGTGTTTCGAGATACCAGCCAGGCAGCAAACTCGCTGAGCGACTGGGAAAGCACTGGGGGTAAGGGGCAGGGGGGAAGCTCTGCTGCTCAGGATTATCACTGCTGCACAGCACCCAGGGCTCAGCTGCCTCCGGGCAGACATGCATGGACGTACCCACCTGCAGGATGGATCCAGCCCTGCCATCGCAAGCCCTGAGCATCCTCTTGCAGTTTGGGCCGGGCGACCTGCTCGCTCCGGGCAGCATGTCTCAGCAAATCCTTCTCTGAAAAGAAGCACAAGTGGTCAGCCCTTGCGCCTGGAAACTCTTGGAGATGGACAGCAAAACAGAGGGATGGGGAAGAGAGGAAATCCCAGGGAAGATCTTTTAAGCAAAGGCAGAGGGTGACAGTGCCAGTCTGCCTTTCAGCATGTCCGGTGTCTTCCTGGTGCTGGTGGTGTGAACTTAGAATGTGTTAATTGTCATTAATTGGTACTAATCATGCATACCACAGCTTGCGTTGCTAGCTGTGTTACAGGGAAGACAGCACGGGAATTTGAGGCTGTTCTTCCCCTAAGATGACTCATGATTTCTCAGCAGCTCTGCTTTTGGGTCAGGTCCGAGCAGGAGGTGTTTGCCCCAAGAGGTGAAAACCCATCCCTGAGCTTTCAAGGATGTTTGAAATCCTGACCTGGTGGGGAACCACTGTTGATGGCCACTTCGAAAGCCTCATCCCACTGTGGCACAGCACAGCTTCTGCTTCAAAGCTGCAAATGGGCTCTCTCAGCCCTCCCTGGCTGACCTGGGGCCGCATCCTGTGCTCTCAGCAGATGGGCATGAGGCTGGGCCAGCCCTGCCCCGGGGCTGGGAGATGCCGTTTGCTGGCTGACCTCTGAGGGCTTATGAGATTTGCAGACCCCAAGGACCTGCCTTGTTCCTCATGGTACATCAGGGTCCCCAGGCATGGTGGGGGGGCTAAGAGTGGCTGCCTGCCTGCAGCCTGGTCCTCTGTAGCGCTGAGCATTGAGTCTGACTCCATGTAAGCTCATTAGGGGAAGAAAGCGGCTTTAGAGGACGTGATGGATTTGAGCAAAGGAGTCGGGCAGGGGAAGGTGCAGTGGGGGTGATGGCTGAGGGGAAAGTGGGGCTGCTAAGAGGGGCAGGAGGGATGGGGGTCCTGGACAGAGCGGCTTCCCTGCATCATCAAATACGATGCTACAGGGGCTGCTCGTCAGCCATCCTGGTTTAGCCTCGTGCTGTGCCCCCCATGAAGGCATGGGGGGATCCCCCATCTCCATGGAGGTCCTGAGTGCCACCACCCTGTCCTGAGCCTCCTGCCAGGATGATGCTGAGACTCAGGTCTGCTCCACTCTGCAGATGCCGGGCATGGAGAGAGCAGCCGTGGTCTCTTCCAGCTCTGGTTACAGCTGTTACCTCCAAAGAGCGGGTGCAGGATCTGGCCCCACACCGAAAGCAGAGGTCGCCTGGCCACCTGCAAACGGCTCAGCCCGCCCCAGCCCTGCGCAGGGAGCTCCCAGCCGCTCTCGTGCATGTCCTTTAAAGGCCTTCTCGCATCGAGCTCTTCCCTGGCAGCTCCTTCTGCCGCAGATGCAGTTGCTCTCCCCTCCGGGGAGTCTCTGCCGCCGGCAGCTTGCACCGCGTGGGGCCCCGGCACCCCCCGACCCACCGTCTGCCGGCCGCGCCGTGTCCCCTGACCCCCCTCCCGGGTCTGCCAGGGACCCGACAGCGCCGAGTGCCGGGTCCGAGTTGGGTGGCCCCAGCATCTGCCTTCGACTGCTTGAGACAAGTTCAGGCAGGTAACGACCCGGGGAGCGTTTGGTAAAGTTGCCGAGCCGAGGGAAAGCGCTCGGTCTGGCTTCCCGGGGGGTTATTTATGCCACGCTGGGCAAACAAGCTGCATGCCTCCGTATTTCCATCCGTAAAACAAAGATAAGGAGCGAGTGTCTGTAAGGCTGTCTGAGCTGTAGTAAATCAGCAGGCTGCAGGGTCTGCCATGGCTGTTAGAGCGAGTGCTTTGCAGCAGGGACCAGCCCTTGGGAAAACTCTGGTGCTCGCTGATGTGATGAGTTTGGCTGATCCCTGGTGGCCGGGGGCTCCCGGGCCCTTTGGCAAAGGTGTCGGGGACAATTTCCAGTGTACAGGCATGAAATGGGCTTGTTTTGACAGATGCCAAGTGCTGCTTGCTTTTACACTTCCATCCGGGCTCAGCAGGCTCCGGGAGACGGGTGATGGCCCCACTTGGCAGGGGGGCGAGATGGGTGATGGCCCCGCTCCGTGCTGGGGCAATTGAGCTTGGCCAAGGCTTTGCACAGACATACAGGGCTTCAGACAGTCCCTGCTCTCCATCCCCTTAAATCTCTGCTGCGTTTTGTGTCCCGACCAAAAAAAAAAAAAAAAAAATCTCCTTTTGCCCCATGTCTGCATGTCCATGGGCACAGCTCCCGAGGAGACGCGTCCTGCAGGAGAGCCCCTTCTGCACAGTGACTTTACCCTGGGCTGGGAGAGGGACTCTGAGGATTTTCTGCCAGCTTTCTCTGATTTTTAAACATTGCAAAACAGCTTAAATGAGATGTCCAAGCTCCCTTGGACTCAGGAATCTCTTTGTCTATCTGGGAGCCGGCCTGTCAGGGGGATGCTCGGGAATCAGACTGTACCCTGTCTGGGGTACAGCGGGTTGCTCCTGCTCCATACCGGGTGTTCGCACCGGTAGGTGGGTGCAAACTTATATTCCCCCATGGAGATGAACCCATGTCGTGAGCCCCAAGCAAGGATCGCCCCGTGGGAGGGTAACGGGGGTGGCAAGCGGGAAAGTCCACCCTCAGCGCTGCACAGAAATGGGGCTTGTAATAAATTCTTCGTTCGCCTCGTTCCGTGCCCGCCTGAATCCCAGCAGCATCCTCCTGAATTGTAGCGGGCCTCCCCACCTCTTTTCCCACAGATGCCTCCACGCTAAGCAGAGGAGCTTGGAGCTACTGCTGGGTGAGAAAATGCTTTAAAAATATAACATTTAGAGGCGTTCTCCCATCTGCGCGCAGCTAATATGTGTCTCTCATGATAGGTGTGCTGGTCCTGGAGCCTCCGCGCTTTGCAAATGAAGCCGCTCGTGGGGACCTTGCTGGGAGAGGGGGAAGAGGAGGCGCAGGTACTCGCCCAGGGGTGCCGACGGCGGCAGCGGCAGAGGACAAGCTGCGGACCCAGCCCCTCGCGTCGGAGGTATGTGCATGAAGGCTCGCCTCACGGCTCTCCGGGTGAGGACGGGACGAGGATGGCAGTGCCAGGCAACGGGGGGGATGCTGGCTGGAGCACCACCCTGCTCCAAGGCACCGAGCATCATTTTGGCACAGCAGCCCCTTCTCCTGCAGCCACTGCTCCCGGGGAACGACCCCCAGGCTTGCAGGGAGGAGAGGGAAAAGCCCTGCTGTAGCCCTTTCCAGAGCCAGGAGCAAAGTTTGGGGGTTCAAACCCTTTCCCAGTTGGGTGCTGGGCTCCAGCATGAGGCCACATAGGGCTGTTTGCGCAGCAGCCCCTGTGTGTCCATGCACAGGTGACCTGCCATCCCCGGTGTGCTCCAGCATCCCCGGCCCCAATGAGCAGGGATACTACAGAGCTGCCAGACTTCCTTGCACCTAGGACAGGGTTTTGGGGTGGCGAGGCCATCCCGGTCCACTTTTGAGGGGGCAAGAGCGTGTGCCCAAGGCCTGCCGTCCCCGTGGCAATGACGTGAGATGGCGCCCGGGCTCTGCCGGCAGCCGGGTTTGTTGTGGTGCCTGCGAAGATGCCGGCTCGCAGCGAGGTCCGCTTGGCAGCCAGGGCAAAAAAAAAAAAAAAAAAAAAAA